CTCTCTCTCTCTCTCTCTCTCTCTCTCTCTCTCTCTCTCTCTCTCTCTCTCTCTCTCTCTCTCTGTGTGTATGTGTGTGTGTGTATAGTTTTCTGTATGTGTTTACACTCATGTTCCATATAAATGAAAGTGCATCTGGAATTATACGAAGAAATTATTTTGTAGATAATGTCAGATGATGACGCTGCATTGGATTCAATGGATACTGAGGAAGAAATCTTTGCTCCTCGCAATCACAGCTTGGAGTCGAATGTTAGGCGACCCAAGAGTTTACGCAAACTGAGGTCACATTCTGGCTCTAATTCACACATAACTAGAAACAATCTGAGTGTACGTCGTAGTACTCGTAATAGAATGCAGACTTATGACAATCTTAATACAAGCTGGATCCTAGGTATCGAACGAATCAATTACGTTTAATATATAAATATCACTTAAATTTAAAGTGAAATATCTACTTTTATTTTTTACTTTATTTATATCCTGTGCATCTAGATAATAAAAAATTTACCTAACATATATTGTTATTATTTTGAAATATTTTGCTTCATTTTTTTGATAATTGCAACTGTTTCAAATGTTTATCGAAATTAATAGGAACGCAAACTTTAAAAGGATACCCTATGTTCCAACAACATCCTTCTTCTTCGGACAAAGAGATGGTAGATGACGTTCCTGGTAGAAAACGTGATGTCCGGGATCGTATGCCTTTGAGATCTCGCGAAAATCATCCGCCTAATAAAAATCCGACGAGACACGTTAGAGACAGAACGGAACATGATCGACAAAATAGTAGAGAACTTCGAGGTAGATCCGATCGCGAGCTCAAAGAAAGGACCGAACCGGAAAAGAATATTGGTGAACAAGCGAGATCAGCGAACGAGGAAAAGGATACTAGGCGTGTACTTTAATCAAAATCATTTATCGACGTGCCTAATGAAATTTAATGTAATTAAAATTAAAATGTTTCCTTAGAACAAGAAAATCCGATAGTCCGAGCAGATTCAGAGAAGGTCCTGTAACTAGATTATGTGGAAGTATAATCGAAAAAAGCGAGAAGCCAAAAGTAGAGCAGGAGGAAGCGGATGACGATAGCTCGCGTGAAAGCGAAAAACGGGATAATAATGACAATTCTGAAAATGAAGACGTAAGGAAATTTTTGTAACTTGTTTCTTCAAAAATCTGTGTAAACTGTATAAATTTGACATATTTATTTATTTTTGCTAGGGATATGAAGATATGTACACACGCATTAAGAGAACGAGGCGCACGGCTCAACGGCAATTGCCAAGAGGTAAGAAAAGAGTTTAATTTTGTCGGTGCGAGGCGTTTCTTTTTCTTAAAACATAACGTTATGCATTTATTTACATGTACAGTGGTGGATAGTGATCTAAGTGAATCTTCGGATTCTCCCGGGCCTAGAAAGTATAGTTTACGTCAGAAAAAACCTACTGTAGATAGATTTCAAGCTAATGTAGAGCCAGTTAGGCGTTCCATTAGAGCTCTTAGAAGCGTTCTCAGCAATTCGATGAGAAGAAGAAAGCATAGGAGTAAGAGCACGAGTTCCGCCGATTCTAGTGATTCCGAGCCGCAACGTTATGATAAAAAAAAGGGCAAAAAAGCAAGGTACTTGTGTATATATCACAACAGTGTGTTCGTCGAATAATATCTTTACTAACGTGTACTACGTGTATTAAATATTTAATAGACAATCGGCCATACCGCAAGGTGGTCCACCGGATCGAAAAGCTGACATAAATCCCATCACTTTAGACACGAACATTAGATTTAACGACGTCGGCGGTCTGGAAACTCATATTCACTGTCTTAAGGAGATGGTCATCTTTCCTATGATGTATCCAGATGTTTTTGAGAGATACGACGTTACTCCACCAAAGGGTGTTTTATTCCATGGTCCGCCAGGTACAGAATCGATCACTTTACAATGGAATAGTAAAATTAAAACATATTTGGATTTATTAGTGTTATACAACTTGAAAATTTATTTCAGGGACTGGCAAGACGCTAATAGCGAGAGCCTTAGCAAACGAGTGTAGCCAAGGCAACAAGAAAATGTCCTTTTTCATGAGGAAAGGAGCCGACTGTTTGTCGAAATGGGTCGGAGAGTCTGAACGACAACTGAGATTACTGTTTGAACAAGCTCAACAGATGAAACCGTCCATAATATTTTTTGATGAAATAGACGGTTTGGCTCCTGTCCGAAGTACCAAACAAGATCAGATACATGCTAGTATCGTATCTACACTCTTGGCACTTATGGATGGTCTCAGTGACAGAGGACAAGTAAGAGAAATCTTATTTTAATATTTTATTATATCTCGGTATACCGCAAAGCCACGATCTCTGAGCCATGTAAAATATTTTCCCATTTGAAATTCGTATTGATACAAATATTATTCATGCGGAATGTCGGTGGGATTTGATCCTGGTATGATCCTGATATTTTACTTGACAAGAGACAGATTTAGCATTGAGCTCGAGAAGTTATGCTTCAGTTATGCTATACTGTCAAATATTTCCGGTTGAATTTTCTAACTTTCTTATTTTTTTATTTGCAAAAGGTTATAGTTATTGGCGCGACAAACAGAATTGATGCAATCGATCCTGCTCTACGAAGACCCGGTCGTTTCGACCGCGAACTTTTTTTCCCCTTACCGGCCATGAAGGAGAGATTAGAAATTCTGAAGATTCACGTTAACAAGTGGAAAAATCCGCCATCCGATCAATTACTGGAGATACTAGCGGAGAAGGCGACTGGTTATTGCGGCTCGGACTTGAGAGCCTTATGTACCGAAGCAGTACTGCAAGGGTTAAGGAGAACTTATCCGCAAATTTATATGACGAACGACAGATTATTGCTAGACCCGGAGAGAGTCGAAGTACATTTTGCAATAGAAATAAAGATCATTGTATTATCGGAATTATTGTATTTTAAAATTCGTAATATTATTAATTATCTGAATTAACAGGTAAAGAAACGTGACTTTATACAAGCAAGTTCTATGCTTGTTCCGTCGTCGCATAGAGTAGCTCCATGCGCGGGTAGAAAATTGCAACCTTTTATGGAACCACTATTAGCGCCTCCATTAGAAGAATTACTTAATTTGGTAAAAGGAATATTTCCTCAAGCTGTAAATCCCACAATGGCAAAGTAATTATTTTTTTTTTTTATATATACGTAACATTTTAATAATGATAAAACTATCGATAAAAATACATTTTTACGAAATTTTTATTTACATATTGAAATTTCTTTTTGTTTTGTAGAATGAAAAGTGCGAAAGGTATCCATCGCCCAAGATTATTGATTTCGGGCGGTAGTCTGTCCGAGGGTCAGGGACCTCATTTAGCTCAAGCGTTACTATATTGTATGGAACATTTACCAGTTCAGATTTTAGATGTAAGCACGTTGTTTGCGGAAAGTGCTCGATCACCGGAAGAAACTTGTGTTCAGGTTACATATCAAGTTTTTAAATTTGCATATTTAAAAATTTCGAAACTCTAAATTGCAAATGTGTGATATTGACAAAAAATGTATCATCTTGTTTGTAGTTCTTTTAAATTATGTGAGATTTAACGTTATACCGTTATAGGAAAAAATGTTTTATATAAATTCTTATAATTGAATATCGTAAATCCATAAATTGATAGTTGTTAAATATTGTAGGTGTTTAATGAAGCTACTAGGAACGTACCGTCCGTAATATATATTCGATCGATCAATCAATGGTGGCCTCTCGTGCCAGAAACGGTAAAAGCTGTTTTTTTGTGTCGCATCGCAGCACTTGATCCTTCATTGCCAATTTTAATTCTTGCAACGAGCGACGCGACATACCAAGATCTCCCCGATCAATTGAAAAGTTTGTTTAGTGAATTGCGCGGGGAAGCATATTCCATGAAGACTCCTACCACCGAACAAAGAAGAAAATTTTTCCGACCCATTTTTATGGTCCAGAGTCTAAGACAACCACCGGTCAAAAGCAACAAAGTAGAAGTTTTAGAAACACTGCCATTAGCACCGAATCCATTGCCAAAAAAATTAACGGAAGAGGAAAAACAGATCATGTATGAGAAGGACGAAGTGTCTCTAAGAGAACTACGAATTTTCTTAAGAGAAATATGCGCTAAATTAGCGAGAAATCGACAGTGAGCCTCGTTATCAATTTCAGATTTTTTTTTTACAACATCGCGCAAATTCGATGAAATATTATGTTTCAGATTCTTTATGTTTACAAAGCCGGTGGACACGGAGGAAGTACCGGATTACAATCTGATAATAAAGCAACCTATGGATCTGGAGACGATGATGACCAAAATCGACATGAATTGCTACCTATGTGCTCGCGAATTTCTTGACGACATCGATCTCATATGCAGAAATGCCCTAGAATATAATCCAGACAGGTCAGTAACTGAATCGCGAAACGATCTTTCTGAGATTTCTTGAGTCGGTCGAGGAAAACAGTCATACGAGTCTCGTGCGAAAGTATCTTCGTTACAGAAGGTTATCGATATTGTGCTATAACTTAAGATTCTTTTCTAGATACTGTCTTTTTTCTATACTGACATTCATATTGTGTGTTTTCATGTCAGCTTACGTGATAGGCCCTCCCTCGGAATATTAAAGAGGTAGTTGAGCTTTTTGCTGTTTATCCGTAATGCTGTTATCGCTCCGTAGATAATAGTGGTTTTCAATTTAGAACGCACCATAATCGTTGATGTTTTGCTAGACACACCATTATGACTAATTTATCATGCATCATTGAAGACCACTCCCATTAGTTGTTACGCTTTCTATCAATGGAATGTCAAAATACGAATTTTATATTGTGCTATTAATAAGCTTTTATTCTCTTTCCACAGGGATCCCGCGGACAAATTGATAAGACATCGAGCGTGTTCTTTGCGCGATAATGCTTACGCTTTAATAAAAGCCGAACTGGACTCCGATTTCGAGGACAAGTGTCGCGAAATTTCGAAGACTCGTCGAATTTTAGAAAATAATTGTGATAATGAGGAGAACAAAAATTCCAAATCGGAAACTACTACGACGACGAACGAGCGAGCGGAAAAGAAGGAGTCTGTAAATTCTAGTCATTCTCTCGTCGTGAACGGAAAGAAATTCGGTAGTTCGAGGAAGCGTAAAATACCTGCCTGGGCGCGCGGTTACGTAAAGAAAGTACATAAGAAGAGGAAGATCGCTTTCGATGAGAACGTTACCGAAGCGGTCGCAAACAAATCATTAAGCAATGAGACTACTACTAGTATTGATTTAGAAAAATTCCAAGAATTCGAAACTGAGGCGAACAGCGTTTTGAATGGACATATGGGATTGTTTGACAATACCGATTCGGAGAATGATTCGCAGAACGAAAATTCAAAGGGGAGTCAAAACTGCACTATTACGGATCAACGAATAGATAACCTTGATCAAATGGAGATATGTTTCGTGGAGGAAGATAAACCATCGGGAAATGCCGACTCGAGTTCATCATCCCGACGCGAAAGTATAGACGAATTGTCATTTGCTATCGAGAGCGATACTAGTCGAGATAAGATCGAAGAAAATGAGAAAGTAACAATTGATAAACTCGAACTCGAAAATGCGTGGCATTTTACCGTTGATGTAACGAAGGAGTTTCCTGTCGAGGTATTGTGCGACATCTATGTGCAGTTAAGCAGATGCGTTGGGAAATATGCTCAGAAATACGATAGAAAATCACTGCCAAAGGTAAATGCACTAACTATTATTGACAGGATACTATTAAAAACTATTTATCTTGGACAAATTTTCGTTACTATTAAAGATACTTTGGGGGTTCGAAAATAATTGAAGATTATCGATATTATTGATTATATAAATAATATAAATTTTTATTTAATTGACATTTTAATAAATATTGATGTTAGTTTTTATTTTTACATAAATATATAAATAATGCATGATTAAATTCATAATTTTTTATCATGCGAATATTTCATGAATACGCATACGCTATATTTTACATACGTGCGTAATTATCATTTCTATAGATGAATAAGTGTGGAAATAATAACTATAAAAATGTAATTTTTAGTAAAATTGTTTGAATTTTAACAGTCACATGAAAAAAAATTTCAAATTGTTGATCTTTAACAGTTTGTCGATGTAATTATAAAAATTAGAAAAAGTACAGAAAATGAAAATATAATAAAATTATTTATTTACAGGACTTGCTCAAGGAAGTGGAAAAGTTTACAGAGTACAAGTCACAGCGTCAGTAAAGTACAACACACAGGTAATGAGATTATATGGAAGAAAATGCATATTGCTGACAAGATGAATATACGTTTATTATGACACCTCAGCCACACATCAGGAGGCTTTTTTTGTATATTTATACTGAACCGAGTGTTATCATTGTTATATCGAAACTTTGGAATGCTATATTTCTTAGTTGTTATACTGCCAGAGTCTTTAGATAAATAACAACGTATATCTGCAAAGCAATCGCATTTGTTGTGTAAGATAACAGGCAATTAGTTTTAAATTAAATATTGAGTTCCAGGTATATAATTCGATTGGATTTTGTACATATTCTAAAAATGCTGTAAATGTCCAATCATGTGATTATTGATATTTCATATGAAAAATAAGATAAGATGATGTCAGGATTCTCAATCATATAGCTGGAGTAATAACAAAAACCGAGTTTTATATTGGCGTCTTTTATTGCTATTATTGTGTGTGTGTGTGTGTGTGCGTGCGTGCGTGCGTGCGTGCGTGCGTGCGTGTGTACACATACACACATATAGACATACATATATAGACATTTTGCAAAAATTATTTTTCTCAATTTTTTTAAATTATATTGGTTATACATATAGAAAAAATGAAATTGTGGGAATTGATACATTGTATACTTAATTGTTTGTCCAGCTAAATTTGTTGAATAAGCATTAACATGGCAGATTGTTGTCAATCTTTGGATTATCATCACTTTAAATATTTATGACATTTTAATACATTGCTGATGAGGAACGATTCCAAGTATCCGTCTTAAATAAGAATTACACATAGGGAAAGCCGAAATACAAAATGTGTATTTCCTTATATTTGTTATACATAAGATTGTGATTTTCTCTTCGTCTATCAATATATCTTACGCTACAGAATGTATCAATTCAAATTGTCATTATCAGTATAAGAAGATACGTATGAACGTATAAAAATATACGTATAGATCTAAGAGCTTATTGTCCCAAGAGAAAATCCGTATAAAAGGATTCTTTAATTTTCATTAAAAATCATGAAGATTATTCAAAGTTACCATGTTTAACTCTTAACCGGGCGCGCCTCGTGACCGAATGTTAGTGGACGCGCGCGGCACTGAGTGCTGCATCACAAATTTATTGTTAATAATTGAATAAATAATTGGATGATCGTCACAAAAACAAGTAAAATATATTTATAATAAAATGTAATATTAAAATTTTGTGTCTATTTTCTTATAGAAAAGACCTGCATTATCAATGATTTTTCAGAAAAACGAATTTTGCGACACTCAGTGCCGCGGCGCGCTCGGTTAAGGGTTAAAGAAACATGAGATAATCATAATCGATGTAACAATATTATTATATAAAAACAATCGAATGATTTATATTATTTGTTCTAGTTAAATGGCTTTTTTCTTGCGATGACAACTTTTGATTCTTATCTATGCAATTCATTTCATATAAAATATTTTAATATATATTCGTGACTAATAATCTGCAATTTAATAGACCAAAGTTGTAAAAAGTATAAAGCTTAACTCGTTGAAGATGGAAACAGGGCACTTAATACACGCATATACGCGCGCGCGTGCTCACACACACACACACACACACAAAACACGTACATTATAATAATAGTAATAACTACGTATAAAAAGTAAATAATGTATGTATGTAGTTGTGTGTGTGTGTGTGTGTGTGTGTGTGTGTGTACACGCGCGCGCGCGCGCGCACACACACACACAGGTATATATGAACAGTGGCGGCTAGTTAGTCATGTTTAGATCAGTTCTAAAGACTCTGAGAGATGAATGATTCTAATTGCAAAATTAATCGTTCGCGCATTGGATATCGAAAGAAATGAGTCGCAACAATTAATACACGTTAAATATCTAGCTTATTCGAAGAATTGGTATAAAGGAAAAGACAACTCAATTTGATTAAAACTTTTTTCAGAAAAAAAGTAATATTAAGTTAATAAATATTGAAGCGATAACGAAATAAAAAGTTGAGACTTCCAAGCTTTTGAATATCTAGCCGTCGCTCTACAAAATATTCTAGAACTATCGCACTTTCTTCTATTCAATTTTCTATTTATTTTTTTTCAGTCATTTCAATTTTCTTGTCTACCTGTATTCCAATAATGTAAAAGATAGAGTTGAGAAAATAATTTAAAAAAATAATTAGTTACTGTTATTAATTACTGATTCTAAAAAGTAACTCGTTATCGTTATTGTTATTTAAAAAAGGAATGATTTTTTCATTACCTTTTCCATTATATTTTAATACTAATACAGGACCAAATTAAAAAAAAAATTTATTTTTCTGGTATTTTTAACTGATATTTTAAACTTTATCTCTTGATAAAAAGAATAATAAAATTTTTTATTTTAAATTCGCAAAAACCACAAAAAAATTTAAAAGGTTTAAAAGATTTAAAAAATTTTAAAAATTTAAAAGATTAAATTTAAAAGATTTTAAAGTGTTCGAAATGCAAATAAGAAGCTTATTTTTATTAAATTCATCAATATAGTCAAACTTACATTTGTTTTCCTATCCTCAATTCTATATTTACACAAATATTACAAATTTACAAATTTTACAAACTTACAAATTTTTAAAGGCCAGTATTTATAAAGTCTGTTCTTATGCCAATTCTTATGCTCTGTGATTTATTTATGATAAACTATTTTTAAATATAACAACGGATTATGAATATCGATTGGACATTGAATAAACAAACAAGATAATATTATGGCTAGTGTTCATAATCGATTCTTATATTTAAAATTGTCTCGAGTACATAATTAAGATCTCATAAACCAATCACGGAATTGGCAACTTAAGACATTATTTAAAATGATGTTAAAATTAGAACGGATTATGAATATTGACATATGTCATAAATAGATTCAAAATATAAAAGATAACGATAAAAATAACTTAAATTCGTTACTATTATTGGAATAAATGCACCCGTGAAATGTGTTACAGTTATTTAAAAAGAAATAACGCCGTTATCAGTTTTCGTTATCAAAAAAATTGGCTATAACGGTAATGCGTTACTTTCCAACCCTGGTAAGAGATTATCTTATTTTCAATCTCTTATAACTTCTTGATTTCAAAGCAACTGCCGTTATCATTATTCGGGAATCAAATGTTTCATACTGGCGAAGAACTGTGACGATTCTGGGAAACTTTGTGTTGTATGTACATGTATAAATATTAACGAATGTTTAGGATATTGCCTTTCCCAGATTCCCAGATGTATTGGTTGTGACTTGCTGTAATTGATAATGATTAGTTACCAGACGAAGTCGTATGGGAAAACTCGTTTTCACTTAAGCTGTCACGCAGCCTGTAAAAGCAAATTTTTTCCGTGACTAATAATATATCGTTAAACGTTCGTATCGTTTAAACGATATATCGGAAGCAAACGTACATACAGGGCGCAATCCATCCTTTCCTATTCAAACCGTACAATCGAGAATAGGAGCTATAGTAAATAAAAAAAAAAAATAAAAGAAATAAAAAAAAAAGAGGAAAAACTCAATAAATCTCATGTGATCCGACGAGTAATATCTTTATTAGGGATATTGTCATTGTTGTTAAAATGTGAATTTTTCGTTCGCGGGCGCGCGATAAGAAGGTAGTCTATAAGTTTTATTAAATAGCGCGTCCATTTCTCACATCAGGTGATGCATTCATAATGAAGAAATTTTTGTAATTAGTGTATAAGAATTCGCTCCATTCGGCGATTGGATCATTCGTCGAATTCGGTTGTATTACTTGTGAAATTGTCTAGTGAGTAGAATCGAAAAGACTGAGGTTTAGAAGGAAAAAAGGTAGAAACATTCGCTATTACGCGTGTAACGTATATGTTCTCGATTCTCAACAGAAAAGAAAGAAGATTAGAAAAGGAAGATAAAGAGAAACAAGTCGAATCACCACCAATTTTCTTGCACGTGCGACGACGATGCTCCGAGTCGATGGGGAATCGTACGAGTACCCCGTTTCCGCCAAAAAAAATTAACGACAGATAATGCTCCAGTAAAACTGTTTTCCCGCATATAAATAATGCAACTGTACTCGGAAAGTATTCAAGAAAATACGAAAAAGTTACGCAGATGTACCGCGATTTTTCTTCTAACACCTACAAGATTTACATTCCGCTTTCGAAGTAAAAAAAAATCCGAAAGAAACGCGTTTACATTCTTGGTGCTGTACATTTTTGACATCGTATCGTTGTATCATCGGGTCGAGAAATTATCTCGCAAACACTGCCGATTACGGACGAATGACCACAGATACCGCACCCACTCCTATACGAATAAACACGTTCATCTGTCTCTCTCTCTCTC